TATTTAACATGTATAAAGCCATCATGGTTAGTGGATGTAATAAATTTCAGTGAATTAAATAGAACTGCATTTTCTGTTTTGGTGTGAAAGTGCTGTTTTCTAGATTTTCTTCTAATAAAATAGAAGAATCTTAAATTTACTTTAGTTCTCAGAAACAAAAGTTCTGATTGTGTTGCATTTGTGTCTTCTTTTGTATAGCATTTGTGTGGTAGTGAAACTCTTAAAACTTTGGTTTTTGCCCACTGTTTTTGGCCAAAGGTTTGTTTGAAAATACAGGTGGCATGCACCTATAATCCCAGCTACTCAGGAGGCTAAGGCAGGAGTTCAAGTCTAGTCTGGGACCCTGTCTCTGGGGAAAAAAAAAAAAACTAAATTAAAAAAAATATATAGGCATTCCAGCTTCTTCTGTGGGCCTTCCTAAATTTCCTGTGATCTCTCTTACAGGTGATCTTTTTTCTCTTTTCTTTCCCCCCCTTTAAGACAGGATGTTGTTGTTTTGCCTGGGCTGGAGTGCAGGGGCGCAGTCATAGCTCCCTGCAGTCTCGAAGTCCTGGACTCAGGCGATCCTACCTCAGCCTCCTGAGTAGCTAGGACTACAGGCGCACCACCACACCTGGATAATTTTTAAATTTTTTGTAGCGATGGGATCTCACCATTTGCCCAATATGTCTACAGGTGATCTTTTTTATATCCATCTAAAAGCCCTTAGATTTCACCTAAATCACTGGTTCAATCTCAACTCCCTAGACATCTAGAAGTCCTGAAAGATTGTTCTCTCTGTATCCATAGTACTTGACGTTGGGTAGTTTCCTCAGATAACTTAAACAATTATGTTTAATAATCAGAGTAATGGTAGTTCTCAGGGTGTTTTGCATTTCCGAAAGCCTAATGATAGTCATATATTTACCTTAAATCAGCTGCTTTTGACTTAAGCTAATGAAGTTGAGGATGGAAGCAAATTTCAGAATACGTGCGTCTTTCCAGCTTTGTGTTGTAGGCACGCAGAACAGTATCTCTAATTTAAAATATTGAAAGTTTATAAACCAAGGCTAGTAACACTAGTTTTTTGGTTTATTAGAAGTTCTGACTGGTTGATCTACATGTCTGATTAATAAAAATGAAATTATTACAAGAGTGCAATTGTCAGTCATCTTTCAAAATGAGATGCAAGGAGGTGCTAGGAATAAAGTTGTCTTTGATAGTAAAATGATTAGGAATCATTGATGCCTAATGGTCCTGAATCACTTCACATTCCTTTGAGAGTCTAGGAGTGTGTACTGTCTTTCTGGGAAAAATGCACATATGTTCCTAAAGATTTTTATATGTTTCCAGGGATTCAGGACTTCTTTGAAACTTACCTTGTATTTTTTTTGTGCGGAAGTAGAAAATTGAGGGGTGATTTCCTCCACCCCCACCCCCAGTATATACACACAGTTTAAGAATATCCTGTGGCTTTGCAAACAGCTTATGAAAGGGCTTTCTAAAGCTTAACTGTCACTGCTTCAGAAAGGCGGTCTCTTCATAGTGGTTAAGAGTACAGGCTCTGGACCAATCTGCCTGAATTCAAATCTGGCTTCTCTACAACTGCCTATATGATATTGGGCAAATTGCTTCACTCTGTTTTGTTAACTATAAAATAGAGATAATGATCCCTTGTTGGATTCTCATAAAGAATAAATGAGTTAATACACATAAGGTATTTAGAATAGAAAACGCATTCCTTAAATGTTAGCTCGTTAAGTATTGTTGTCTAACAGACAGAAGGTTACTGTGTGTTGCTGAATACCTGGCCAGGTGAGGTTCTCTGGGCTGCCTGTAGCAAGGGTGCCTTTTTCCAGTCTGCACAAAGGCGCCATGAAGTAGCAACTTCCCTACACAGAGATTCATGCCTTCAAGGAGAATGCCAAGATAAACTCTCTTTTCATACCTGCATTAGGTAGGCCTGTTTTGCCTTATTTCTATGAAGAGATGGTTGCTTACCATTTTATGAGAAAAACAAAGAGCCACGTTCTTCTATAGGGCTTCTCTTTATCCCAATATATCAGTCACCTGCTTTGCCTCTGAGCAAATTAACTGCTGCTACTCTTGTCCACAGTGTGAAAGTTTGATTTGGCTTATTAATCTCTTCTATCCCGTTGCTGTTTCCACTCTACTTTTTTTTTTAATTATAAAGTACTGAAGAGAGATGCTGTAAGCTGTTAGGATTTATGATACAGTGAGCATTCTCGTACCTCCACTCAGTTAAAGAAAAAAAAATTACAAGTATCTTTGAAGTTCTTTGGTTGCTCTCCCCATCCCATCCACTTTCCTCTCCCATCATAGGTAATAATTATCTTGAGTTTTGGGCTTATCCTTCTTTTCTTTCTAGCTTTATTGCATATTTATCCCTAAACAATATATTAATTTTACATGCTTTTGAAACATTATGTAAGTGGCAAGTTTAAGAATGTGTGCATTGGCCAGGCACGGTGGCTCACGCCTGTTATCCCAGCACTTTGGGAAGACCTCTTGAGGCCAAAGTTTAAGACCAGCCTGGGCAACATAGTGAGACCACCATCTGTACAAAAAATTTAAAAATTATCCAGGTGTGGTAGTGTGCTCCTGTAGTCCTAGCTACTCAGGAGGCTGAGGCAGGAGGATTGCTTGAGCCCAAGATTTTGAGGCTGCAGTGAGCTGTGATTGTGCCACTGCACTCCAGCCTGGG